CCCCCCGCCCGCGATCCGGGGCCCCCCCAGCCCCTCGTGGGAGGCTACTCCTATGCTTTTTTTAAATTATTATTATTTTATCCCTCTTTACCTTATTTTTGAGGGATTGGGGGTTATTGGCCGCCTCCCGGGCTGCTTGGCGGGAGGAGGGAAGGTCCCTTCCCCGTGAGGCGCCCGGAGCGTGAGCTCTGGGCCCTGAGGGGTTTGGGGTGACTGCTGCGGGGTGGTGGGCTCGGGGGGGCCCTGCGCTCCAGGGTGGCTGGGGAGCATCCCGGGAAGCATCCCTGCCAGGTGCGATGCCCGCAGGCCCTTTGCACTTCCCTGACTCTTCCCCTGGGTTAGCTGGTCAGGCTTTTAGGAGACCCTCCATACGCACACCCCGTTGGGCCCTGCCTGCCAGGTGGGAGCCTGGGCCTCAGATTGTCACTTGGAAAAGGCTTCTCAAAGCTGCCGGGGATTCATCTCCATATGCTCTTGCCCTAAACAAAAGGTGAAATGAGTGGATGGCCACTATTAACCTTTGATCTCCAAATAAAACCTGCTTATATTGCAGAGCTCCCAGGTGTAAAGCTAATCCACGTGCACCTGAAAACCAATTCAAAACCATGTCCTAGCAGTGCTGCTTGAGTTGCATGCTCCCAACCTAAATGTCTGTCCCAACCCAAGCTGTCTAGTCACTAACTTACAAAGCTTTTTCAAGCATTTTTTCAGGAAGAAATGCTGAAGTAAATCAGTTACAATTTGCCTTTCGGATAAGTTTGCTGTCTAGAGAAATCCAAACTATAAAAGTTACTGAAATGCTTTTGGAGAGTTGCTCTTGGCTATTCTGGGAGACTGTTCAAAACTGAAATTTCCTTCATAAAGTGGTAAAGAACATAGCCATCTAAAAGGGACCTTGCAATTGGAAGTGTTTTAGCAGGGTAGGAGTTCGTGCTGCTTTGCCTTACGGCATTGTGCCACTTCTGGCTACCAGTCAGACTCTTGTCTCCGTCCTGTCATTGAGACAGACCCCAGGAACCCTAGGTATGTGGTGTCTGTTCTTACAGTTGAGCAAGCGCCTCTTGCCAGCACTCCCTGAGTGGAGGTGGCCCTACCATTAATAAGACCCTTGGCTGAAATTAGCTGTTTGAGACCATATTCCTCATTTATACACACCCCCCATCCCCGGAGTTCAATAGAAAGAGTCGGTTTGTTCATCAGAACTTGTATTTGCAGTGGGAGTATGAACTTCTAGGTTGCAATCAAGGCTGCTGAAGGTTCACCAACACTGACTTACGTAGAAGCATGCACGTAAAATCTATGGGCAAGCATTGCACTAGTGGCAGTGACTGGCCTTGGATGTCTTATGTAGTGGCAGGGGAACAGCCTGACTTGACTTGTGTTCTGAACTTCTAGGGCTTTGGTCAAGTTGGTGCGCACTGTTCCAGAAAGCGATGGACCATGCCAGAGCGGCAATCTCTAACTTGGTAAGACACAGTCCCCCTGTGCCATTTGTCTCTTGGTGAGCTGACAATGCTGCAGAAGAAAGGTTCAACAACGTCCGTGTCAGTATCGGAGAAGATGACAAATCCAAAGCAGTGTTAGATGCTACTGTGGGGGTTGTGAGCCAAACATCGCTGTAGCTAGCTGGCCACGATAAGGAGGTGGCTTAAGCGGTTCACTGCTGGTGGGGTTATCGTTAACTGCTACGATGTCTTGGGTCTCTCAGGAAGCTGATAAGGAGGAGGGGCGAGCCTTGAACAATGTTCCAGGAGGAAGTGCTGCTGAGGAAGCTGATTAAATGCCTATCAGGACAATCAACATGTGTTCTATTATGTTACTTTGGGGGTGGGAATTCAACCACAAGTCCAGCCTTTGAATGCAACCTTTGCTTTGAAACAAATGTGCAGGAGAAGGTAGCTCTGGGCTTGCTCAGCCAAGCCCGCTGGTCCTAGAGAGCCTGGACTGTGAAATGACCATAGGCTAGGACTGCAAATGTGAGGGTTTGGTCTCTGAACAAGCACAGAGGATATGTGGGATTGAGGCACGTCCTCTGCAAAGTGTGAGGGAAGCCAAGCTATCAAGCAGCTGAGCAGGCAGACTGCTAGGATAGACTGCGGTGTTGCCCTTTTACGGAATATGAGAAGCCAGCCACTTCATTGTGGGTAGCGTGGGCCAGAATGGAACTGCAGGTCTGAAATGACACTGGTTTAGTTTTGACCAACCATGATGTCTGGTCTCTTCACCTCCAGCCACTGACTTGTAGTTTGAGAGTGAGCTGAGAACTGTGGATGAGCTGCTGAGATTGTAACAGGGCTTGGGCACTTGCCACCAGCTGCTTCTCCAGTACAGTGGAGAGGGACTGCAGGACTGCTGCTCCCAAAACTATTCCTCTGGCCTTTTAGCCAGTCTCCTGCCTGTCCCCAACGCAACTGTGGCTGCAGGCCCATTCAGCGGCTCTAATGGAAGCTGAGTGGTTCTGCTCAGCGCCTGGCTACACCTGGAATTGAGTTTAACTGTCTGTTAATCTGAGCGACTGCCTTGTGCACGGGCTGCTGTTCTGTGGGCGGTCGGACTGTGTGTTGCAGCTGTTTAGAAAAGTGGGCTCCAGACTGGAAGCTGCTCTGCTTGGGCACTGATAAACACCTGTCGAATGGGTCCACTCACTGGTGGGTGCAGGAGGTGTGTCCTCAGCTTTCACGTTAGCTGAGGTAGCAGGATTCCCATGGGTCATCTCTCTTCAGCCTAGCTGCTTTCTAATACTCATCAGTAGTGTAACAAGAGTAGCCTGGGGCAGTTTAATACAGGATTATCTAGATACTGGATGAGAGTATTTATGTCAGAGTGGATGTGGCTCGAAGGCACAACCATGGAGGGGTTGCCTTCCCTTTCCTCTGTCCTGATCAAAGTTCCCTTCTGTGCGAGTCGCACATGTTCAGGTCAGATCAGTGCACTCCTGATTAAGACCAGGAGTTTCTGCTTCAGTCAGCCTTTGCTGTGGGGTCACGTGGGAAATGCCGATGCCATTGGCTGTGCCATATTTGTAACAGACTCCAAGCTAGACTCTGACCACTGTGGCTCTGAACTTGTGCAGGGCAAACAGATGCTAAATAAACTCTGGAAACCCTGAGTGGATCTGAGTCTAACTGTCTGTTCAAAGCAGCCAGCCTGACTTACTGACAGCCGAATGCTTGGGCTGCGCAGGAGCAGTTTCAGATGAACAAGCTGTATTTGGTTTGGAGCATAGGTGCAACTGGCTGCAAGGACTGTAGGCTGGTGTAGCAAACTCTTCCATCACATGACTGTCTTTCAACACAGTTTGGTGGCGAGCCGATGTTGTACACGCGCTTCAGCATTGCCCGGCAAACGGATGGAGACAACAGCCATGTGGAGATGAAGCTGTCTACTGATGATGAGGAAGGAGGGGAAATTGGGAGACCGGAGCACCTGCACGCCAGCATGCCTCCTCCACAGAGGAGCGGCAAGAACCTCTGCTTCCTAATCATCGCAGCTCTCCTCCTCCTTTTGATTGGTAAGGAAGGGTGGGAGGCAACTGCATGAAGTGGACTCTGGTATTGAGCATATCTGAGGCTGTTAACATTTGAATCTCTATTGTTTCAGGAGATAATTACAGAGCCTGGATCCAGGCTGCAGCCTCTTGTCACTAACTCTAAGTATGTCTAGCTCAGACTTACGGTACAGAATTGGCACAAAGAAGTGTGAAGTTTGACGGTGGAACTCTGACTTAGCTAAAGGGCAAACTGGCCCATGTGGCAAGTGTACTGGTTTTCCCTCGATTAACTCTTAACACTTCTCTAGACATGTGGGTCAACGTATCAGTAAAGCCTCTGGTGCTCGTCTCTCAAGGGTTTTAACACTGCCACTGACCTAAAGTAAGCGTTCTTCTTCCCAAGTGGTGCTGGAGGGACTCTGCCAAGCACAAGATCAGATTTACAGTCTACCTTAAAACATGCCAGCTCAGGCAAAATGTCAGGCTGCGTATTTCTGTCTGTCCTTAGGTGTGCCAGCTTGTCAAAAATGGTGTGAGAGCAGAGATGCATCTTAACCCTGAAGCTGCTTTGAATGCACTTGTATGGTGTGGGGCTGGTTTAGTCATCTTTCTGCAGCACAAAGAAATGCCTGTTCTGTCTGTAGGGTTTCTGATTGGCTACTTGAGTTATCGTGGACGAATGCAGAAGGCTAGCAGGTGTCTGGATGGAAGTGGCAAGTGTGAGATGACTCCTACCACATCTTATTTAGCTGATGATGATGAAATTGAGGAAGAAGAGGTTCCTGGACCACCTGTCTTCTACTGGCCTCGGCTCAGAGACCTGTTGTCAAATAAGCTGTCAGCCAGCCATCTTGAGGACAGCTTGAGGTAACAGTTCCAGAAAGCTTAGCTACAGCTATGAGAGAGGCACAGCCTGTGGGCAGAACTCAAGCTCCTTTGGAGAACAAGGGCCTTAAAGATGTTGTAGGGTGGCATGTGGTTAAACATGGGCTTAAATGGCCCATCCAACTTGGGTTTGCAGGCTGGAGCACTGCAGTGCAACCTGGTGCTGTAGCCTAAGCTATACATCTGTTACCTACAGGCAAAGAGCAAATCAGTACTCTTTCGAAGCTGGCCAGAGTGGAGATGAGAGCACTGCCGGCTACATTCATGACCAGTTCACCAGCTTCCTCTTGGATGAAGTGTGGAACGATGAGCACTACATTAAGCTGCAGGTCAAAGGCAGGTACGTTAATGAAGAGATGCAGATCTCTTCCTTACAGCATGGATATCTGTAGTCTTGAGCAAATGTGATTTCTGCTGAAAGCAGTGCTAAAATTGTGAGCCAGTTGCCCCTCTCCAAAGAAGGCCTCACTGTAGCCAAGTAATAGCTGCTCCTGTCTCTTCTCAGTCTTTCTAAATCCAGAGGATCTGGTAGCAGCTCTCTGGATTTTTCCTGGGACAGCTGTTTCCTCAAAGCATGCTTAGGAAGTGGAGAGAAAACAAATGAGTAAAAACTCAGCTGAAAGGCAGATTCCCTGTGTCTAAAAATGCTAGCATGGGCGACTCTGTCCTGTCACCCGGACAAGTGTTGCAGACCTGGCAGTGGCTCCTGGTCTGGCTCAGGAGGATATCAACAGGCATTGTGTTGGCTGACAGCTCATACCCCCATGTCTTACTTGCCCCTTTGTGTCGGGGGTGGGGGTGGGGGAAATGAATTTGCTTAGCTCCTCTTAGGAGGCGACTAAGAGGCTTGGAAGCAGAGATTCTTTCTGCTACTTGTCTTTAGAAATTAGCCTTCGTTAATGTCTCTGAACAACTCCAGAGATTCTTGCACGGAAGTACTGGGATAAGTCTGCCTGTTTAAGGCTCTGCATTGACTCGATCAGAATTGCTAGGGCACAGACTGAAATATGGGAGCTAGTTAAATATGGAGTTTATGTATGAAAGAACGTAACACTGTGTCTTTACATTTAATAGCAGCAACAACAAAGTGTCTATTCTGGAAGATGGTAAAGAAGAGATACTGGAGAGTCCCGATGCATATGTGGCATACAGCCAGAGTGGCTCAGTTGCTGTAAGTGACTCCAGGAAGATCCTGGAAATGTGTTTGCACACTTGCCAGGTGGCAATGTCCAAAATATGTCCCTTCAAGATATGGAGTATATAAAGCCCTCCCCAGTTTAGAGAGCTGGGGGTGGTGGTGGGGAGAGTGGGGTGAGGCGTGGGCCCATATAGTTCTATTACTTCAGCAAGATGCAGAATTAACTGTTTAAATTTCTCTGCTGGGATCCAGACAGGAACCTTGACAGAAGTGCTGCTCCAACAGGCATGTTGCATGTGATCAGAGTTTACATTGCTGAGTTTGAACTCCTTACTGTTAACGGGAGTCACTGTTACTGTGACTCTGTAGGCTGTCTCAAGTATCTTACTGTCATAGGACTGCTGCATTTAAAACCAGTGTTTCTGTTCCAGGGCAAACCAGTCTACGTGAACTATGGACTGAAAGCTGATTTTCAGAAGATACAGAAGCTGGATGTTTCACTGAATGGAACTATAATCATCTTCAGAGCTGGAAAAATAACCCTTGCTGAGAAGGTAAGCAGCCTGTGCCTCAAAGCCCGGCCAAACTTGGCAGCAGGAAGTGATGCTTCCTCCTTTCAAGACACACTTCTGTGCCTCGGTTCAGGTCTCTAGAAGTTATGTATGTAGGCTTGTCCCTGCAGGTCTGGTCTTGCTTGCTTGCACTAAGCCTCCACATGCAGGTCTGGACACCAAGACTGAACAGAGCTGGTTACCATTCATGGTGGCATTCTTCTTGGCCTCTGGCAGTCTTGCTGGGACAGCCAAGCATCTGGAATGATGGAGCTGGGAGGCAGCCTGGGGGCTACAGGGTGCAGAGCTGGCTGGTATTGCTAGATGCAGCAATAGGGCTGCTAGAACAGCCTTGCCTCTAGAGCACTTCTTGCTGCTGCAGCCAGATACTTTCAAAGCCTGACTGCAGTGTCTCACTTGGGCCCTTGCCGACTGTTCACTTGGAAGGTGCTGGCACTGCATGCCCAGTCAGCTGCCTTGCCTGTTACTGTAATGTTCCCTCTGTAGCAAGTAGAACCAAATAGCCAAGCAGTGTAAAGGATCCAAGTCCTTCTGTATGCAAGCCTGTCCTAGGTCTGACCCAGAGCTGCCCCTCAGATGGGTGCTCCTGGGGAGGCTGGGGCATAGGACTCTTTCCAGTCAGACTCTGCCTGTCTGCATGCATCAGACGCAGGCAGAGCTGAAAAGTGCTTCTGCAAGGGATGATTACTGGTTCTCCAGTCCCCTTCCCACTTTTCAAACTGGTGTCTAGCCTTGGAAGAGTGTTTGTACTGGTGGTATATCGGAGGCAGCTGGGTTGTAGGTGTATTAAACAGGGACCTGACTAGGCCACTCTGCCTCCATTTTCCATGTGAACATGAGCCTCCAGTGGCTGCTTATCTTGTCTTGAGACCAACCTAATCTTGGGAAAACAGATGGAGCGTAATCAAAATTAAATAACATCTTTCTTCTAAGCTGCTCTGAGGAGCTGAAGGAATCATAGGGTGAGACACTAACCATGGAGCGTCCTAACTGTTCAAAGGGTGTTAGACACTCTGCCTGGAGTAGGACTGAGCTGCTAGTATTCAGTTTTCTTGTGTGTCTATCACTGTCAGGTAGCTGTTAAAATCTGTTGTGGAGTTGGGCATTGAGGAGCACAACCCTTCACACCATTACTCCATGTATGTGCCTTAACTCCCTTTACTTGCAGTGCAAATGTGCAGTTAATGTTCCTCTTTGCTTCAGGTTGCAAATGCCAAGGAGGTAGGAGCAGTCGGTGCCCTGATGTACCTGGACCCCTCCGATTACAAGGACACAGATGCGCTTGTCCCCTTTGGACATGTGAGTATGCAACTGGCTCCCCTATTTGTTCTCATGAACCTTTCTCACTGTGGACTGCAGACTGCAGCAGTCCTTCTGCAGGCCTCTGGCTCAGCAGTGCTTCATGTCTTTGTGTAGATGAAAACTGTTGTCTCCTCTGAGACCTGAGGAGTCCTTTTGCTTTCCACAGGCCCACCTTGGAACTGGAGACCCTTTCACCCCAGGCTTCCCTTCTTTCAACCACACCCAGTTCCCACCAGTGGAATCTTCTGGACTACCTCGCATTGCTGTTCAGACTATCTCTAGCCAAGCAGTAACCAAGCTGTTCCGGTAACTGTTTCTCCTGGCTTGTAGGCTAGGCTGCTGTGGCCCTTTTGCAGGGGTGAGGATGGTGTTGAGGTGGTGTGAGCCCAGGGAGCTCTCTGCTGGTCTCTGCTGTGTATCGCAGGGAGCACTTACTGGAACTGGCTGGAGAAATGTCGCTTGTGTCCATGTCTCATGTCTTAAAAGACTGAACTTAATCTAGTGTTGGATTCTTCTTTGCCTCTGCATCCTACCTCTCCCTGTATAATTAGTGGTACAGGACTGCAAGCTGTTTTGGTTTTTGTGAGCAGGCCCTGAACCAGGCTGCACCTGCAGTTGCAGGCTTGCATTTTTCACAGGATAACTAAATGAGGTCAGAACTGGATAATGAGTTCAAAGGATCTCTCTTTTTCCCCCTCAGCAAAATGGATGGAGAGCAATGCCTTCCAGAGTGGAAAGGTGGGGTCATAGGATGTAAGGTGATGCTGAGCAGCACGAGCAAGATGACAGTGAAACTGAGCGTGAACAACGTTATGGTGGACAGGAAGATTCTGAACATCTTTGGTGCTATCAAGGGGTTTGAAGAACCAGGTAACAGCAACTGCCTTGGGGCTCAGTCTTGAGGGGAACCCTTCCTGTTCTGTGATCATCAGAACATGACAGCTGCTCCCAGCCAGCCAGCTACTTCCTCAGCAGAACCAAGACCCTTCCCTAAAGGTCAACGAAATAGCTGAACCACGCTGCCAGGGAAAGGCTAAATGAAAGCAAGCAGTGTGCCAGATTCAGGGGTCAGACTCTGTACTTTGTTCCTAGTACAGAAGCTCAAAGCTGCTTTTCTGATAAATGGTGTTTGCAACCTGAAGCTTGCAGCTCAGATCTTGATGTCTCCTTTATAGATCGGTATGTTGTGATCGGAGCCCAGAGAGACTCCTGGGGCCCAGGAGCAGCCAAGGCTGGCGTTGGAACTGCCATGTTGTTGGAACTTGCCCGTGTGATCTCGGACATAGTGAAATATGGTAAATATTTGTGTACAGAAGCATGGGGATGGGAGGTCATGCAGGCTTAGCTCTGCGTGTGTTAACATTGGAGAGGCCAGTTGCAGAATAATCCTTTGGGAAGCGTAGGGAATCTGACAAAGCTTCCTGAGAAGCTATTACTTGTCCAACACAGACAAGTTCTCTGCAATGAGCACTCGCTTTCAAGGGACTGCCTGCTTGTATCTGGTATGGCTTGAATGCAAGAATGTCCTTGGATAATACACAATGCAAACCTCAAACTTGAGCTGTCTATTGGACAGCCAGGCCTGAAGGTGGGAAAACACTGAAGTGGCTGAGCAGCTGGAGCAGTGGGGTCTGCATGGTGGCACTTAGTATGAGTGCTTTCGTCTCCAGGGTTAATTTTGGGCTCAGGCAGCTAAACAAAAAAGGGGGGAAATGCAGACAGCACGGTTTTCCTACACAGCTCTGCAGCATGGGGGGGCAGGGTACTGTGTCCATGCAGCCACTAGTGTGCACATTTGTCTGCAGCAGCCAGAATGCTTCAGCTCTCTCTGAGGAGCAGGCGATTCATCAACCCAGGCCCTCAGTGCTAATCTACATCTCCATGGGGGAAGGGCAGACATCTCAGTCTCTGTCTCTGTCTCTGTCTCTGTCTCTCTCTCTCTCTCTCTCTCTCTCTCTCTCTCTCTCTCTCTCTCTCTCTCTCTCTCTCTCTCTCTCTCTCTCTCAACCAAGGCGCAGCATCATCTTCGCTAGCTGGAGTGCGGGAGAGTATGGAGCTGTGGGTGCTACTGAATGGCTGGAGGTACTGTTTCTTTGACAGACTTCTGCGTGATGACTGCGCAGTTGTGACTTCCTGTTCCTGTGGATTAAACATCCTGGTGTTGTACTGCTACTGCTCACCTTAAAATACTTGTTTTGTTCTAGGGGTACTCTGCCACACTGCATGCCAAAGCCTTCACTTACATTAACTTGGATGCTGCAGTCCTAGGTAACCTGCTACTCTAAGTTTCTTAAACTGAGTGGGACCAGAATAGCTTGACAGACATCCCTTAACCTCCAGGAATGGGGGCTGTGCCAGAGGTTGATGCTGGGTGTTTGGCTGAAGACTGGCATGACTCCATTTATCCTCCTGTTGTCATTGAAGCTGGGAGGTTGCTGCAGCCTGAGCCAGAAGGAAGCAGCTCTGCTAGGTCCCAGTAGACTGTCCTGTGTCTGTTGAAGATCCTTTGGCAACAAGCTGTAGATCAGTTGTTGCTCAGTCACAGGACTGAGCAGCTCTAGCAGTAGTGGTTAATTGTGCCAGCATGTCAAACACCCTTTCTTTTTTGTAGGCTTCAACCACATGAAGATTTCTGCTAGCCCATTGCTGTACACGTTGCTGGAGAAAGCTATCAAGGGGGTGAGTTGAAGGGTCTTGGGCTAATCAAGGTGACTGTGGCTTTAAAGAGGAGCTGAAAGCAGCCAGAGCTGCGCTGGGTCACTTTCCCCAGCTGGCACCTTCTGAGGAGAAAGCCCCATTTAGGAGAAAGGGCTGAGATACTCTGCAGGGCCCTGTCTGAAGTCAGCGGGGCTCTGGGAATTGCAGTTCACGCATGCGGAATCTAAAATCACTAAATGCCACAGTTCAGTGGGAGGTGAATGCCTGTCCCACGTGAACTGTGCCTGTGTGGAGAAAGGTCAGGGGAGCACACCTGACTGTGGCATCCGCACAGCAATGCAAGCTCCAGGATGGACCTGGAAGCCGAAGCAGAGGTCAGAACAAGTGGACTGACTGTCATCTCTGTGCAGGTGAAGGACCCAACAAAGGATTCAAGAAGCCTGTATGACAGAGTTGGCGCTGACTGGGTAAAAACAGTGTAAGTATTGTCATCCTGCTATTTAGGAAAGCAAATCTCCACAAAGGAACAAATTAAATGGCTTCTGCTCTTTGTGCTGGAGTGTCATACTGCTGTCTGGGGCAGGCTGTACCTGTTGCAATGTGATCAGGCAAGTGTGAACAGTACAACACTAGCTGTACTTAGTGCTGCCCCAAGCTGCCTGTGGGCAGCCCAGACACCTTTTTGTAGGGCAAGAACAGCCTTGTACAAAGACCAGTGGCCAGAAATGGACGAGCAGCCCTCAGCGCTTGGTTGGGACTCCTTGCCAAAACCAGTCTTGTCTAGACAGGGTAATCCAGTTGGCTCAGAGCTTCAACTCTAGGGCTTTTGAGTCGGGCTTTTCTCCTGGGTTGTCCAAACCAGTTGGTAACTACTCAATACTTGTCTTTTGCAGTGTTCCCCTTGGTCTGGATAATGCAGCGTTCCCTTTCCTGGCCTACGCGGGAATCCCAGTGGTTTCCTTTGGTTTCTGCAACGTAAGTATTGTCTGCCCACCTGATGTACTCATTCCATGGAAAGTGCTGTAAGGATATCTGCTCTCCAGGATGGCAGAGCACAAGGTGCTGTCCCAAGCCTTGTCCATGCAGAAGCCTTTCTGGGGGAGGAGATGCAGCCTCTGGACCTGGTGGCTGTGGTAGTACTTGCTGTGAAGGCTGCTCCTGGGGCATGGTTGGCCTATGGTCTCTGTTCCGGAGTCCTGAACACTAATTTTTTTGTTGGGAGAGGGGGCACTCACTCTTCTGGAGGCTCAGATGTCAATGATTCAGAAGCTAAAAGCACTAAAAAGATGTCAAGCTGTTGTTGCTTCACTGAAAGACTGTACTATAGCCTGCTGGTCAGCAAGCAAAGTGCATTGGGGAAGCAGTACTGTTCGCCAAAGCAAGTACTAACTCAGACTGTTCAGGTCTGCTGCTGCAGCTTGGGGCTGGCAAAAATGGCATGAGCCAAGCAGCCTGCTCTGTTACTGCAGGTGTGCAGCTGGGAGCCTTCCTGATAACAGCTTCCTCTGCTTATGAATGCTTGGGTTTTGTTAGTGACAGACTTTTTCCACAAAAAAACTTGAGTTATCCTGCCAAGAAGGGTTGGAGGGTGCTGCCAGCACATACTAAACTGGGTGCTGGGGTTTGCCCGCCTGTGCTTTTGCAGTGAGCTCTAAGGGGGGGGGGGAAAGTCTATATGTCTTTGGGTCTAACAAAGTAGCAGAGCATCCTGCTGATTGTTGGAAAATGTGAGGGACGAGATGGAGGAGCTCCATTCCCTTCCCCTGTGCTTTGAAGTTTTGCCACTCACATCTCGCTACTTAGCAGCACAAGGAGATGGGATGTGGTGGAAGTAGCCCGCAAACTGTAGTAGGAGGTGAAAAATCCTGGCTGGAGAAGCGCTCTTGCCTAACTTCAATGCCGCCTTTCTTGCAGAAAGATGAGGAATATCCCTTCTTGGGCACTACTCAGGACACTGTGGAGAACCTGAAGAGGAATGACAAGTTGTATGCTCTTATGCGTGCTGCTGCAGAAGTTGCTGGACAAATAGCTCTCAGGCTGACCCATGATCATGAGCTCTTCCTGGACTTTGAGAGATACGATGAAGAATTGCTAGCGTTCCAGGAGAAGTTTTTGCCCTACGATCAGGATGTGAGGGTAAGAAAGGCTCTAGAGTGCACTGAATCCCTGTAGACTTTTATGGGGCTGTGTGCTAGTAAGGCTCTGCTGCTACTGGATACAACAGGGTGGACATCTTCCTCATTTGGGCACGAGAGCATGGCAAGATGTGACCTGAATCGATGTTCCTTATAGAGCAGTGCAGGCAGAGTAGCTGTGGCAGACAGATTTAGCTAATCTGGCTGTGGGGAGCTCTTGTGGAAATGGATGTGGATGGTTTCTTGTCTGGTTATCATTCACAGCAGGTACAGCTTTGCATCTCATTTGCACCTCTGCTGAAAGCCTGTAAGAAACTGTGGGTGGGGAGACTTCGCTGAGCTCAGTGACCTCAGAGAGCCTGCCGGGAACTTGCTCTGCTACTTGGTTAAACTGGCAAAAAAAACCCCAACACTTTCTCTTGGTAAGAGAGCAGCAAAAGAAGAAAATCAGGTTTGCTAACAGCTCCTCCCTCACAGGCGCTGGGGCTGACCTTGAAATGGCTGTTTTTTGCCCGTGGTGACTTCCAGAGAGCTACAGATGCACTGAGAAGAGACATCACAAACAGTGACAGGGAAAACAAGATTGTCCGCAGAGCCCTGAATGACAGGATCATGAAGGTGGGTATCTGCAACTGGTTTTCCTTCCTTCACGAAGGAAGAGAATGCTGGCTGGGATGGGCCTCTTCCGTAGGAGCCATGGGCACTGTGCACACCGGTGTCTCTTCTGCTTGCTTAGTGTCAACATGTCTGACTTCTGCGCTTGCTATCATGAGAGGGTCTGGCCCTTGCAGAGCTGCTGCGGGAAAGGGCTGGGTGGGGACCAGAGGTTGGGAGCTCATGATGGGGCAGAAAAGAAAAACTTGGGAGGTGAGAGTATAACCCTAAATTTGCACCTCTACTCCAGGTGGAGTATGACTTCCTCTCCCCCTACCTCTCGCCAAAAGCTGTTCCCTTTCGCCACATCTTCTTTGGCAAAGGCTCCCACACCCTGCAGAGTCTGCTGGAGAACCTGCAGCTGCTGACAACCAGCAGGGACAGCGTGGATGTGAACATGCTGAAAGAGCAGCTGGCCCTAGCGACCTGGACCATTAAAGGGGCTGCCAATGCCTTAGTGGGTGATATCTGGGATACAGACAACGAATTCTAGACACAGCAAGCGCCTGGTTAAGGTACAGGATTAGGGAAACCCACTCCCTAACATGGCATTATTTTTCTGTAGATTTTCTGGCAACAAATTTTTTTTGACCAAAGTTGAGCATAAAATTTAAATCTCACCTTGACAAATTCACAGGAGGCAGTTTTAAAGCAGGTACTAAGGTTACCATGAAATCTCCTCTGACCAGGCTCCCATGTGACTACAGTCCAAACTGGTCATGTACAGCTGCTTGTGGGGCTTGTTCTCCAGTGTACTTGAGAACTAACAGCTCAGGTGACTCCTGAACTGGTACCTTGAGTGGGGAGGTACCTCATCTATTTAGGGTTTTAATTGTTGGCCCCCTAAACCTAGTGACAAAATAGGGAATGGATTCCTCTTAATGCTCGTAATGAGGATCCCTTCTCTGGCAGGGAGCTGCAGAGACCAACCTGTAGCTCAAAAGTAAAACAACATAGTAGTAGCCCGCAAGTGCTGGATTATCAGCAAGTTCTGAAGTGCCTGGCCTGCCTTACTCAACAGCAGGGTCCCAATGATGTCTTGGAGGCTTGCCTCTGCTGAGGCAGGTCTTAATATGCAGGGAAATGACCCAAAGATTATCTAATACCCCCTTTATATCCTTAGCTGGCACCTCAGCGAGTCCTGCGGCATTGAGAAATGGCTCTAGACTGGCACTTCAGACCTTGCTGCTCTGGGGCCTTTTGTGAAATCGAGTCTCTTGCTGGCCAAACCCTGTTTGACTGATGCCATTTTGCAGGATGGCTCTAGTTTGGCACTGAGATATTTATTTGTTTATTTATTTATCAGTGACAGCGTTCACTATAAATGGTGTGTTTTTTTATAGAAGATAATTATCGGAAGCAGTGCCTTCCATAATTATGACAGTTATACTGTCGTTTTTGAATAAAGCAGCATCTGCTATTACAATCAAACATGATACTGGAACTTTGCATTTAAAATAATCTAAACAGGCCCCTCCAAAAAAAGTTTTTGAAAACTAGCAATTAAGCTTTCTGTGGCAAAAACACCCCTCTGGAAGAAACTTGAAGGCGTAAACCTGGTAGCAAGTCTCTGGGTTGCGCTCCAAAATGATCCCTGAAATGCTGAAAACCTGGGTGGAAACTCAAATAGTAGAAATTTGGCTTCCCTGTGGTGCCCCTCTGTGGGCTTCAGGCTCCCTCTTCGCCCCTCTTCTGGATGCCGTGTGCTCGCGTGGGGAGCACGGCTTCCTTCCTGGCCCCGGCCCGGCGGAGGGGCTCACGGTGTAGCCCTAGCTCCACCCGCGGCAACACACTGACTTCCTGTACCTCCGATTAGGCATTGGCCCGATATTTATTTTTTTTTTTTTTTTTAAATGGCAGCTTCCTGCAAACTTCCAGTACCTTATGTATCATGAAACCTAACTGACATTATCGGGGGCAGTGTCTTCCATAATGTGTAAAGAACAAGGTAGTTTTTGCCTACCACAGTGTTATATCGGAGGCAGTGACCTCCATATGTTGCACTATGGGTGTACGTAATTATCGGGGACAGTGTTTCCCATAATTGTTCTATACTTATCATGCAATGTCATCTGCGAAGCTTGATGGTTAGTATCTAACATGGATCAATTTCCTGCAGTCCTATTTTTTCACTCTCCTGTGGTGATGCAGATACAAACTTCGGTCTGTTATGTACTTCCCTAGACTCTACCTTCTCCGTAGGCTGAACTGTTTCAAATAGCTGTGCTGTCTTGAAGTGGCTTCCTGCCTCCAGTCACAGGACTGGCGCTTGAATGTGTAGCGGAAGCTAGGCTAGTTAGACTGTGTGCTCTGTGATTTAGTAAACTTCCTTCAAACCAGTTACAAAGACTTGGGGAATTAAAGGTGAATGTAGGGCTTGGGGCTGACTGCTGTCTGGAGGGCTCTGGTCACTGCTCTAGATGGGTGCGCGTACTAGTTAAGAGGCTGGCCTGCTGTGGCACTGGGGTGATGCTGGTGTGCGTGCGTGGGAAGCTGCTAGCTCCCCAGGTCTCACTGGAAACCCCAGTCTTGCCTCCTGGGTGTTGTGTGGAGGCGGGGAAATCAGTGGCACCTTTCTCGTGGTGCCCCTCTGCTCCCTGACCTGAAGCTGAATGCTGCTGCGTGACACCTGCTGAACTGTGCTGACTGTTCCTAAAAAGCAGCTGGCTGGCACCAGCCCTCTGCTCTGCAAACAGCTTGATCTGGCATTTAAACCTAAACCGAGCAAGTGACCTGAGCCCCAGCAGTAGTCCTGGAGGGGAAGAACATTGTTCAGCTGGAGCAGAGGCCTGGGCCTCCACAAGGAACGGGCAAGGACAAGCCCCCAGCCTAGTTACTGAGCTCAGTGCTCACCAACTTGGAGGGCTGGATTTTCATCTGTCTCCCTGGAAGCCTGATGCCCAGGCTTGTGCAACTCCTTGCTCCTCCTTAACTACCCTGCTGTCTCTGAGGCATGTGTACAGCCCTGTGTTACTGTTTCCTAGTGACACTTCTCTGGATGGCATTTAAGAGCTGCTGTCTGGGAGTCCTCACTGTAGTGTTTGCATGCATCTTGATGTCAAACTTAATCATGCGCTTTACAGCCAGTAAAGAAAGACAAAGCCTGTCTCCTGGCTAGGCAGCACAACCGTGACTACTGGGATGTCGGGATGCCTTGCTCGGTGCTGGCATCTGACTGGTGTGGGGTGCTAAACTCTGTTTCTGGGTTACCTGCTGTCTGCGTTACCTGCTGTCTGCTTGAATAAAGTTTTAAAGCTTGAACACTCAACTTCTCTCGTGGGTTCTTGCAAAGCCACAATGCTGTTGTGGCCACGGGCGGAGGGAGGCTGCTCTCCCACCCCATCAGGGCTGGTAACTGGCAGCTCCAGTGCCACCTTGTTGATGTACTATTGCACATCAATGGCACTGTGGCCAAACAGTGGCAAGTCCAAACTTCACCATGCTGCTTGGCTCTGGGTCCTACCTCACCGCAGGCAACTGGGATGAGGACTCTGGCAAGGAGGTGGAGGAGCAACGTATAGCAAGTCCCCCCAGCCACCCCTCTCCTTTCATGGCCGTGTACTGCTTGCTGCCTCTCGGTCACTGCGTTGACCCTAAAGAGCCTGTGGTGTTGGGGTGGATGTCGGGAGGAGGATGAAATGTCAGACTTCCCACCGGCTGCTGGTGGCTGGGCACGTCTGTGGGTGGCAGTGTCTGTGTCCCAGGAAGCCAGAGCTGTTCCCTGTCTCGTCCCTGCCCCTCATCACCACCCTGGAGCTTCACGGGGTCAATGTGTGGATGGGTATGTGTGGATGGGTACGTGGTTACTGCTTAGAGCCCCAGAGAGCTCTGGCAGAGCGGGAGCTGCATCCCCAGCCCCAGCGGCCTGCTCAGGTGAGACTGCACTGGTTTGGGGCTTTGCATTTTAAATGTGCTCAGCTTTTCTCTGCTGTCTTCCCCCATCCCTGGTGCCAGTCTCGCCTCCTGCTTTACAAACACCGTATCCTGTGAAGATGCACCATTTGGGGTGGGAGGCAGCTTCTCCAGGAGCCCTGCTCGCTCCTTGGGGGCTGTCCCGGCACAGCTCTGGTCCCTCCTCTTCCAACAGGGGTGATTTACTCGTTGGAAGCATGTTGTTTCCCGCACCTCCCTGCCCCAACCTGGCAGGGCTCCACTCCCTGCAGTGGCTGTGAAAAGCGCCCGAGAGGCAGAGCCGGGGCTGCGTGCAGCTCCGCTGCAGCCAGGCAGAGCCAGCCCCGCTGGGGCAGCAGGGAAGGGGGGTGCAGCCCCTCCCCACGCACCTGGGAGCAAGAATTTGGGGTGCAGTGCAGGGCAGCCCGTGCTCTGCGTCCCGTCTCCCCCCGGTCCCTGCAGCGGAGCGGCCCCGGGGCCTGGCGCTGTTCCGCGGTGAGTCTGTCCGCGTCCGTTTGCGCATGCACCTGTCTGCCCGTCTGTCCGTGCCCGCGCCCCACTCCTCACCCATCGGCCTGCCCGCCCGTCCCCTCTCCGTCCGTCCGTCCCCACCCCCCC